GACATACAACCAGTTCTGATTGCTACCCCTGGGCTTTAACCACAAGATCATGCTCTTCTGTATAAGTGAGACAACCGCAAAAGGACTCCAGGTGAGTCCCAAATGATCCATATTCTTATCTAAACCTTAGCACAACCTTCAGATCTGGCTTGTCAGTCCCTAATTTGAACCCCTTTCTGTGCCTTTTCTGCCACCTTATACATGTTGCTGACATCTTTAGATTAAAATAAAAAAAGGTTTCAAGAGGCAGTTGGTGACCCTTAGTCCATGACTGGCGTCCTTATAGACTGTAGCCATCTGCCTAATTGTCTTGGGTTGCTATCGCTGGTCTATTGGGGGAACCAAAGAAAAGTAAAACCCTCGCACTTCCCCAACCAAATCTAATAATAATACTCAGAGGGATGCAGCATGATATGGTGGACAGAGTACGGAATTGGGACTCAGGAGACCCGGTAGGTATGTATTATTCTGCCCATTTTACAGAGAGGGAAACTAAGTCAGATTAATAGTCAAATTCTGCTTTACACTAGTGTAAATCAACAGCAACACATCTGAAGTCAACAGACTTACCCCAGGCTTGCACTAGTGAATCTGGTCCTAAGTGATTTGCTCAAGGTCATAGAGTGAATCAGTGGCAGAGCCAGAAATGGGAGTCGGGGATTCCTAGCCCATTAAACATGAGTTGTAGCCACTTCCATTAAGCTAATTGGGATTTTTTTTTACATCAAATCTTTTAGTTCAGTTCCTGAGTGAACATCCCCTGTGCCAGCTCCAAAGGAATGGGATTAAACTGGTGAATTATAGTTCTGTATTCTGCCTTCTGACCGCTAAACCTCCAGAACCGGGAAGAATAAAATGTAAAGAGAGAGTGTCTTTCCAGTATTTAGAGAAAAGCCTTGGGAGATGAGATAGTCTTGGTTTCTCATCCCTAATGTGACCCTGTTTGATCATAGATAGGGCCCTACCAAATTCACAGCCATGAAAAACGTGTCACAGACTTTGAAATCTGGTCTGCCCCCGTGAAATCTGGTCTTTTGTGTGCTTTTACCCTATACTATACTGATTTCATGGGGAGACCAGAGTTTCTCAAATTGGGGATCCTGACCCAAAAGAGAGTTGCAGGGGGGGGGTCACAAGGTTATTGTAGGGGGGATTGTGGTATTGCCACTCTTACTTCTGCACTGCCTTGAGAGCTGGGCGGCCGGAGAGTGGCAGCTGTTGGCCAGGTGCCCAGCTCTGAAGGCAGCACCCCGCCAGCAGCCGTGCAGAAGTAAGGGTGGCAATACCATACCATGCCATCCTGACTTCTGCGCTGCTGCTGGCGGTGGCTCTGCCTTCAGAGCTGGGCTCCCAGCCAGCAGCCACCACTTTCCAGCTACCCAGCTCTGAAGGCAGCGCTGCCTCCTGCAGCAGCGCAGAAATAAGGGTAGCAGTACCGCAATCCCCCCGACACACACACACACAATAACCTTGCCACCTCCCCACAACTCCTTTTTGGGTCAGGACCCCTACAATTACAACACCATGAAATTTCAGATTTAAATAGCTGTAATCATGAAATTTACTATTTTTTAAATCCTATGACCATGAACTTGACCAAAATGGACCATGAATTTGGTAGGGCCCTAATCATAGACAATGCACTTGGCATCTGGATACTGAGTCCGAGATAAGCTAGCTTGAGACATTTTTCTTGGAAATAGGACACAAAATCAATTTGATGAGCTATTATTTTTTCAGTCATCCATAAATGTGCTTCAGAGAAAACACTATCAGGATCTGACTTTTTAATTTATTTTTAATTTCTTATTTACATGGTGATACAATGCAATGTGTCCTGGGCACTAACTCTAGAGGCTTAATTTTGCTGTCAGGTTTCACCAGTGTAAATCTAGAGTAAATCCAGTGATTTAAGCACAGTTTGTCCAGTGAGGTAAAGGAGACTGCAAAATGGCCCTCTGTGTTATGCATTTACCATAAGTCTCTAGTCACACTGGGCCAGAACAAAGCCTTTAAGTAATTAAACAAGCCAAGACAGCTCTAGCAATAAAAAGGGCAGCTACTAATTATTTGGAGCATAAGGGTGGGATCAGAAGGGCCTCAGAGACATTCTTATGGGATAGGATTGCATTTTATTCCTGCCCAGCCACACTACAAAGGCACCCTCCAATCCACTACAGCGTCCTCTCTGCTCTTCACTTTTAATTGGCAACTCTGGGCACTGTACATAAAGGAAATGGTAAAGCCAACAAAGGGAGGATAACAATCACGGAAGTTATTATTTCTTCGCAAAGGCTCTGACCTTTTAAAATCAGGACACAGCACTGTTCCGCCGCTCAAATTTCTTCTTCTCCTCATTTTAAACTAACCCACTGGAAGAGCAAATACGTAGAAGATGCCCTTATCACATACATTGGAAAGCATTTGTTATGTTTCCAGCCATTTCATCTTCTCAGGTGTCCTAAAATAAGCAGGGAATATGGTTTTGATGGGAGGCCTCCCTGAAAATTCCATGTGCCTCAGGAAGAGAGAGATGATCACATGTCACTGCAAGACTTCATTACTCACTTGCCAGCACACACATATACAGGAAGACTCACAGGTAAACACGGCCATCTGCAGACAATGGGAGTCATCAAGATTCCAAACCATCATTAATGGCCCACACTTTACATAATTACAATAGGCCCTCAGAGTTATATTTTATATTTCTAGTTTTAGATACAAGATTGGTACATTTATACAAATCGGATGATCACACTCAGTAGATTATAAGCTTTGTAATGATACCTTACAAGAGACCTTTTGCATGAAGCATATCCCAGTTACGTTATATTCACTTTTTACCATATTTTTCTAAAACTATCCCAGTTACATTATATTCACTTATTATCATGTTTTTATAAAACCATATAGACTGCACAACATCACAGGTGTTAACACTAATGCCCTAATGTATTCCAGTTTGGGTAATTATATTTTCTCTAGCTGATTTCCATGCTGTGCCAGTCAGGGTCCAGACACCCCAAGGGAAAGACAGGGGGAGTCTAGACCCGAAAGAGGAAGTAAGTGAATCAACTGGTCGTATACAAAGTTATTGTGTATAAAATGTGTAGAGTGAGGTCTTTTATGAAAGCTTGTAATGTTCTGAACTTGATGGTCATTATGAGATATGTATAAAGACTGTGGTTATGAATATATTTATGTATATAAAATACCATGCTCATGACTGGTACTACAATTTCAAATACACCTCACAGCAGAGAGGAGCTTCTTCCAAAACTCGATACAAGTAACGATCCACGGTTCAGTGCAGGAAAAGACAATCATTACAGCTAATATTGACCAGGTGAATGGTCTTGTATTTAAGGCCCTGGACTGAGACTCAAGAGACCTGGGTTCAGCTCCTGGATCCACCAGAGCCTTCCTGTCTGACTCTGGGCAACTCATTTAATCTCTCTCTGCCTCAGTCCCCAATCTGTAGAATGGGGATATTATTTCCTTTAGATCTATCCCATACAGGGGTTGATCCTGCAAACTGCTGAGCATTCTGGCCCCAATCCAGCAAAGCACTTAAGCATGTGCTTAACTTTATGCACAGCAATAGTCTCGGGGAAAGAGATTGCAGGATTGAAAACTCTTCAGGTGAGGGACTCTCTCTCTCACTGTATGTCTGCAAGCTTGAAAACTTGTCTCTCTCACCAACAGAAGCTGGTCCAATAAAAGATATCACCTCACCCACCTTGTCTCTCTAATACCCTGGGACCAACACGGCTACAACAACACTGAACATAAGAACAGCCATACTGGGTCAGACCAAGGGTCCATCTAGCCCAGTATCCTGTCTTCCAACAGTGACCAATCCCAGGTGCTTCAGAGGGAATGAACAGAACAGAGGGCAACCCTCAAGTAATCAAACCCCTGTCGTCCACTCCCAGATTATGGCAGTCAAAGGTTAGGGACATCCAGAGCATGGGGTTGCGTCCCTGACCATTTTGGCTAATAGCCATTGATGGACCTATTCTCCATGAATGTATCTAATTCTTTTTTTAACCCAGTTATAGTTTTGTCCTTCACAACATCCCCTGGCAACAAGTTCCACAGGTTGACTGTGTGTTGTGTGAAATACTTCCTTTTGTTTGTTTTAAACCAGCTGCTTATTAATTTCATTGGGTGACCCCTGGTTCTTGTGTTATGTGAAGAAGTAAATAACACTTCCTTATTTACTTTCTCCACATCATTCATGATTTTACAGCCCTCTGTCATATCCCCCCTTAATCGTCTCTTTTCCAAGCTGAACAGTCCCCGTCTTTTTAATCTCTCCTCTAATAAGAAAGCTGTTCCACACCCTTAATCATTTTTGTGGCCCTTCTCAGCACCTTTGCCAATTCTAATATATCTTTTTGTGAGATGGGGCGACCAGAACTGCCCGCAATATTCAAGGTGTGAGTGTACCATGGATTTATATAGTGGCATTAGGATATTTTTCTGTTTCATTATCTACCCTTTTCCTAATGGTTCCTAACACGCCGTTGGCTTTTTTGACTGTTGCTGCACATTGAGCAGATGTTTTCAGAGAATTATCCACAATGCATATATGTATCTATAGCACCTATTAGCAGAACAGGGCTCTAATTTCAGTTTGGGTCCATTGACAGTACTGGAATACAAATAAATAATAATAAACGAATACCAAGACGTAACAAATAGGCAGTTTTCCCATTAGCCTTAATTCATGCAGGAGGATTTCAATGTAGCATTGTAGCAAGGGGAAGAACTGCTCCCCCCCCCAATATTAATTGCATTAACACCCCCCCCCCAGTCATCCTGTCCTAAAGATGGAGCTGTTCTCAAAGCTGGACTTTGCCTGCCTCCTTCTTTCACAGCTCTTTCGTTTTTCTTGTGCATACATGTGTTTCTGTTTTGTATTGTAGCATTTGTTCTGGCGGCTCATATTTACATTTTAAGTGCATCTGGTGGGTGGGCGCTAGGGGGAAAAAAACCCTTTTCTTTAACAGGAAACCAAACAAAATTAATTAAAGCCTTTGAATTCTTTCTTTCTTTTTGTTGCACTCTTCATCCAAACCAGGTAGAGTTTTCAAATTCGATTCTGATCTCTTTGGGAGGAGAAGAAAGTTGGTTTTTTAAAGGTAGTGGGGGGGGGGGGGGGGAAAAAAAAAAAACTAAGAGGAGGGGGGTTGGGGTTGAATGAATAAAAAAAGGGAAGGAAGGCGGATCCACGTGGTTTAATCGGAGACAGACAGAGATCCCATTGTTCAAAAAATTTTTTTTTAAAGGCAGAGCCAAAGAAAAAGGGACGCTGGAGGAAAATCTAGAAGAGGAGAGCTGGAAAAATTCCTAACCTGAATCCGAAATAAACCGGCAGAGCTACACGGGCAAAAAATCAAAAACTGCTGGACAGAGTTGGAGAACATTAAAGTTTTTTTTCTTCTTCTTGATTTGGACCAACAACAACAAATCCAACTCCCCGAACAGGTGTTTATGGATTTTATTGGGGGGGGGGGGCGTATCTTTTTGATTCTTTTCTTGAAAAGGCCTGGGGACGGATCCGGCTAATAGAAGATCAAGCTCTGAAACCTCTAGGATGGAGACATGAATTAGATTTTTGTGTCATTTCTGAGCTGGGGGAGGAAGGAGGGAGAGAGATAATTGAGTTTAATTTTTTTTTAAAACGAGGGGGAGGGGAGTTCAAAGACAAAAGCAGCAGCAGGTGAGGGGAAATCCCCCCCCCCACACACACACACTTTGCGGGTGCCTCGAGGGGAGAGACAAAGTGGGGGTAAATTGTACTTTTAATAGACTTTAAAGCGCTTTGTAAGTATCCTGGGGATTCCGGCTGAGGGTCGATAACTCTCACCTATAATTTTGGGAGCCGGCTTGGCTATCGGGGGGGTTTGTTTGCCAAGGTGTAAAACGATCGCTGGAACTCATCACCCCTTTGGGGGTAGATGTAATGCCCTGATCTTTTCTAGATTATAAAATTTTAATGGGGGGAGAGGGGGTATTTTTCTCCCCCATTATATCTTGTCTGTGGGCCAGTTTGAATGCTGTGCGGGGGGGGGGGGAGAGAGACACATTTACCCCCTAAACTTTGGCGGGGGTGTGCCATTTCCATGCACATTTTTGTTTTCAAGGTGGCAAATTTTAATTAATCGGGGGGGGGGGGGGTTTTTCTGTGCGATTTTGGTGCACGGGGGGGGCAGTTTCCCTGCACGAGGCGGCGGGGGGGGGGCGCTTGTTGGGGGTTTTGCTGTTGCTCGCTGGTGCATTTCAGGGCTGTATGTCCCCGGGGATGTGGGGTGGGGGCGGCCCCCCACTTTCCCCGGCAGGCTGTAGCTCCGCCGCCCCGGGGACCCTGCCGCTGTGGTGGGGCCCGGCGGGCCGGATCGGGGCCCATGAGCGCGGTGTGTGTTTGTCCCTCTCTGCCCAGCCGGCGACATGCCCCGGAGGAAGGCGGCGGCGGGGCCCGTGTGGGAGGCCGGCAACGGGACGGCCCGCGCGGCCGGCAGGAAGCGGCCGGGCCCCGGGCCGAGGAAGCGGGGCCGGCCCGAGCGCGGGGCCGGCGAGGGCAGCAGCAGCGGCGGCGGCGGCAGCAGCGATGAGGACGGGCCCCGGGAGCTGCTGCTGGCGGCGGCCGAGCTGGACGGGACCCCCGGCGGCAAGAGGGCGGCCAGGCCCGGGCCGGGCGGCGGCCGAGCGGGAGGCCAGGCCGTGATCATCAGCGAGCCCGAGCACAGCAAGGAGCGGATCGTGAGAGACGGGCCCCGGGGGGTGGGAGCCCCCGGCCCCATAGGGCAAAGCCTGGGAGCCCCGGGCCCCATAGGGCAAAGCCTGGGAGCCCCTGGCCCTATAGGTCAAGGCCTTGGACCCCCTCCTCGCCCCATAGGTCAAGGCCCCGGGGTGAGGCCTGGGAGCCCCCTCCTCGCCCCATAGGTCAAGGCCCCGGGGTGAGGGATG